CCTAACAACTGGAAACTGTAGAAGGTAGGCTACGGGCCCATCTGAATGTTCAGAGTGCAGATGTCCATTAGTGGGACACGTGGATGCTTGTGTCCTGTGAATGCCAGAGGTGTCTGTTGGTGGTTGGGCTCAGATCATTTTTTCTCCACATGATTAATATGTTTCCTTGCTTTACAGTTATGTTTTCCTGTCTAGAAGAATAGCTTTTTGAGAATAAGGACCAGATTTCTAAAATGTTTGTTGTCTCAGTACCTAGTATCATAGGTTCTTGAAGCCTTGACTGAATGCTTTTGGATATGAACTGACTTTTTCCTGGGAATTGTTTTTGGTCACATTATCTCAAACATGTGGCCATATCTAGATGTGTTCCAAGAAGTCTTTGCTTGTGTGTGTACTTTTCTTTGCATCTCTAGGTCAGGCAGAGCCTGGTACTTGTATGTTGGATGAGTCAAATCATTGAAAGACACTGTACTCTTTTTATGATCATTGAGTTTTGATGAATCTGTTTCAAAAAATTATGAACCAAAGCCCTTTAACACGGATTTGGAATTCCAGTAGATGTTTTATAAATTTAATTTCCTTCCATGAACAAATCTCAGAGACATAGAGACAGACAAGGTTTGGTTGGTTTGACTACATTATTAAAATAGTAAGAAACTATCTTTTCTATTCCAGAGTATCAACCAGTTTCTCCAGTAAGTTATTTTTCTTCAATTTTTAACTAATTTTTTTGAGAGGATTTCTAGTTGATTTGAAATTGAATGACTTTTAAAAGTTCTTTATTCATTTCTTTTTGAAAAACTATTTTGTCACAAGATTGTTTGCAGAAATCCTTTTTTAAATTAAAAAAATTTATTAATACATTTTTTGTGGTATATAATATTTACATTCATCATGAGTTGGTACATGTACATATCACATTTTAATTCTTTTTACTTCCCCTTCCCCATCCCTGTCTTTCTTTACCTCCCTTTTTCTTTTTCCCCTCCCTCTCATCTGATTTGCAAAAGATCAGTCACTTTTAAAACCATCTGGAGTTTTGTGATAGAGCTAGGCTTCATCTGTTTTTATTTATTTATTTTTATTTCTTTGATTTTTTGAGACAAGGTCTCACTATGTAGTTCAGTCTGGTCTTGAACTCACTGTGTAGCCCACGCTGGCCTTGAACTCATGATGATCCTTTTGCCTCAGCCTCCCAAGTGCTGATAATACAGGTATGTGCCATATCTGGTGTTCTTAGGGTTCATCTTCTGAATCACCATACAAGGACATTGTACTGTGGATGTTTAAAAAATATGTATGTTATTTCTTTAGTCTAAAAACTAGTCATTCAAAATTTACAATATATACAAAAGTATAAAATGCAAGTCACATTTGTGAATTTTATTTTAATCAAACATGTTTAAAAAATGTAGAAACTAAATACATTCTTTCAAATCAGACGATTATATAATTCAGGTTATCATTAGCACTTTTATGTAAGTCACTGTCATAATAATTTCTAGCAGGTCCCCAAAGAATAATTTTGCTAAATTTAATGTAGCATTGTGGACTTGCAGTCAATTAGTGAAATAAGGACATGAACAAGTAAAAGGAAGATCATTGTAATTTAACCAGATAAAATTTTGTTTTTACAAAATAAATTAGTTGCTTTGAATGATAATACACTTAAAGGAATGAGGGTATATGAATTTAGGAAAGCAAAAATGTCTCTGAATGTTTTTCTTGCATATCCAGAAACATTTTGGAAATTACAAAAAGCTGATTGAAAAATGAATGTGAATTTTTTACGAGTTATAACAATGCTTCTTATTTTCTTCTTAAGGAGCGGTAGGAGTGCTATTGGATTTACGCTGTAACAGTCACTCAGTATTTGCCTTAAGTTAGAATCAGTTGTTTTATATATATATATATATATATATATATATATATATATAATTATTATTATTTTTTTTTAAGTACAAAACAACTCTTCATAGATTTTCTTAAAAGGGAATCTGTAAGTGGCATTTTTCCTCACATTTTCCCCTGACCCCCTCATTCACTCAGTGATTTATGTGATTACAGAGTACATGCAGGCACTAAGGGCACAGCAGCAAGGAAACCAGCTCCTATTTCATGGTGCTTACCAGCCACTTAGTGAGGGCATGCAGATAGTGAAATTATACTTCAGTGAATCCTCAAGACCCAGCACAGAGAAGATGACAGGCTGTGAAGCTCTGTGGAAGAGCAGGCCAGAGGAAAGGAGCAGACAACACTGGGGTTCAGTATGGGGATGCACTTGGTGTGCTCGAGGAACTCCAGTGTAGCTAGAGTAGTTTCTGAAGGTGACACCATTCTGGCCTGAATGGTGGTAGCTTTCCTAAGAGAAAGTACCAAGGACAAGAAAGGGATTTGAAGCAGAGGTGAGTGTAGTTTAGGATCAATTGGATTTCCAGTGCTGTGGAACAGCAGGTAGAGATGTTCTAGGGCTGCTGACAGTGATATGGGTTGCAGTAGCGTTCAGGAGATTTTGGGCTCCAGGTGAGGAGTTGGCCTTTGGTTTTCATCACAGTTGAAATGATAACTCCTTTCAGGTTTCTGTCAGGGTGAAATAAGGTTGCCTGTGTAAATAAGCTTGGACACAAGGTGTGGCACACAGGTCATGTAAGTGGAGGTTATAATACTGTACCTCAAGGCAGCAGGAGGGTATTTGATTTCCACTATATTTAGATGGGCCTCTTCTGTTCTTTACATTTATTTCCATTTATCAGACATTTTTTTTCTTCCAAGACAAATGTATGGTTTTCTTTTTTCAAAATACATTTTTTTTTCTTTTACATTATAGAAGCACAAAATGAAAAATTTCCTATATCCTTTCATCTGGATCAAACCACTGGTAACAGTGTGACTCAGCCAGGCATGGTGGCACTTGCCTGTAATCTCAACACTCAGGAGGCTGAGGCAAGAGGATCTTCTTGAGTTCAAGGCCAGTGTGAACTACATAGGAAGACACAGTCTCAAACCAAACCAAACCACCAGTGTGACTCTCTAAAAGTACATTTCATGGCCACATCTTCCAAAATGGGGCTCAGTTAGAGTTTTGGTTCTAGTCTTTTGAGGAGTGTAACTTTTTTAGCAATGGAATGTGCCTTCCTGTCTTTCACAGTGTCTGACACTCATGCCCATTCTGGGCACTTGGATTAGATTTCTTGTCTTTCTGCTTTTTTGTCATCATTTCTATTTTGAGTGCACACATTGCTTAATTTGTTAATCTTCAATGTAATGAGTTTATGTGTATTTATATTTCCCAAAGAGATGATGTGGACATGCTAGCTGTTATTTAGCTTATGAAGGGTTTATGGTCATGTGAATTGTTTTAATCTCCCTTTTTTGTAGTTCATTCAGTAAATTTATGCCTTACCATTTTAACCCATGTTAAATCTCATATAATATTTTTAGTGTGAAAAGAAAAAAATAAACTCTTAGGTCTGCAGGTACTGACAGTAGAGTGAAGTACTTGTACTTTGTAACAAGTACTTGATTATTCTTTTATAGCATCTTTTTATCTGATTTTGAAGATGCACTTAAAAATATCAGTAAGATGCACATTATTGGTTAGAGTAATAAAAACTGATAGCAGTGCTTTTGGAGTAACTTACCTTATTTTAAATCTAAGCATGTGGCACTTCACTAATTGGCTTTAAATGTTTTTTATTTTTCTGTGGGTAAGTTTGAATCCAGGTAGAAAGTCTTCCTGGTTTGCTTTCTTTTTTGATATCATGCTCAAAATTTATTATTTTTAATAGAATTATTTCCCCTTGTATTAAGAGACTGAGAGCATCATTTTGAAATCTGCCCCAGATTACTTTTTGTTTTATTTTATTTTGAGTCAACATGTGTTTAAATCACCACATTTGGGATTAGATGAGTAAAAATCTTAGAATAAATGATTTTCATGGTTTGAATTGTTTGCTAGGATCAAAAGCTGATCTTGGTTTCTCAGATGATACTGGGTTTTTCAGATGCCTTCTCAGGGTCACAAATCTAAAACAGGCTAAATTTATGTGTGTATATATATATTCTTCCACAGAGAGTGCTCATACTGTGTCATAATCTTATTTGAGTTTGTGAATTCTAAAATGCTAAGAATTTTTCATGTGGTATGTAAGTGCTGATAGTGTGATGATCTACTTTCCTATCATAATGCTTATACACGTGGGAAAATCTTAAAACTTTGCAGTTGATACTACATTCCTTGACAGAGATACTCTGAAGGAGAAGGACAGATTGCATGGAAGCACAGTTTCTCTGCCACCATTCCTCCCCAACCATGCTCCACCGTGATGCATGTCCCTGAAGTCTCCTTGTCCTCAGTCATTGTAGCCCATTCTTAGGCTGATGATGTGGACACCAGGATGAGGCCTGCAAAGACCCAATGTACTTTGTTAACTGTGTCTGCTTTTAATTATTTGTTCTTTTTGATGCTTGGCTGTCATTTTTCATGCTTATTGTTTCTGATGGAATGTGTATTTTACCAGCATTTCATTCTCTTCCTTCTGATTTCTTATTGAATGGAGTCATTTGATAACCCAGCCTGATAATATCATGCATGCATAAGGTCCTGATCAGGGTCCTGGTGTGACAGTTGAAGGCAGTACTGAGACTTACTTTGTAACAGCTGTTCTTGGTGGTCAGTGGTCATTTTCCCCTTCTTTTTATTTTGAAATTGAATTCTAGAGGATTGAAGGGACAAGGTTATGACTGTATAAATGAAGTCATCTATAAGAAAACAAATTCTCTTAGAATTGTCACAGATTCAGTGAGTGTGATTTCTAAGTGATTTCCTTCCTTATGACTAATCCTTTACTCTTCACACTTCAGAAGCCCAGTCTAAAACTCCTTTAATAAAATATGGGGAAAAAGCTTTGAAGCTTAAGGTACTCCATTGTTTTCTTCTTGACCCTGTTGGGAGAACATTTCATTTGATATGGCTGGTACCTGTTTCTCTTGGTCATTAGGTTGCCCCCAACGATGAAGCTGTGGTGATGCTGTTGTGTGAGTGGGCTGTGAGCTGCAAACGGTCAGGCAAGCACAGGGCCATGGCGGTGGCCAAACTCTTGGAGAAGAGGCAAGCAGAAATCGAGGCAGAGGTGGGTCCACTTTTTTTTCTACTTGCTGAATGTTGTAGTCTAAACATACTGTTGAGGAATACACTTTTATCTTCATTATGCTCTTTTTCTCTTGAGAAAGAAGGGGATGTACAAATTTAGTAGGATCCCTCTATATTGGTACAGCCAATACTTTGTATTCTTGACTAAAAAATGTCTTAAAACAGCATCTAATTTAGTACAAGGAAATCTGATTTTGTGAGATTGATACATAGATAATATGCACAGACATTTTCACAAACAAACGTATGTAATATATACCAACTTTTGAAACTTAAAATGGTTTTGGAAATACTTTCTTGAGGCAATTATGATTATGAGATTATAGATACCAATTTGTTAGTTTTTCGGGTTATAGTCTAGCCCCAGAGATGGCCATTAAAGCCTCAGACATAAATTGTAAAAGAAAAAAGAACGCTAACCTCATCAACATTAGCTTTTGTTGGAGGGAAAATTCCCAAGTAGGCCTTCCTTTCTGCCCACTTGGAAATTTTGTAGTAGAAGTAACCATAGGGAATGTGTGTATGATCTGACAAGGACCTCAGCATCTCTCACCCAGACAACTTCCCCTTCTGCCTATCTCTCCACTGGTTCTCTTGGCCTGTGTTACTCTACACAGCTGCCAGAGTGATCTTTTAGAAATTTAAATAGAACACAGTATCCCTTTACTAAAACTCTTGGAGGGCATTACCAAGGCCCACAGAGCCTCCCATTACCTGGCCTGTGTGGCTTTTCCACTTTGTCTTGTACTTTTCTCTTTGGGTCATAGCTGTATCCCTAATCTTGGTCTTTCTGTTCCTCTAACACAAAACTCACTTTATTTTGGGGACTTTGTTGTTGCTGTTCCTTCTAGGTGTCAGATTCTGCTCTCCAATCTTCCCATGCCCAGCTTCTCTCTAGCATTCTCATTTCAGGAAGTGCCACTTCCGATGTAGCATCCCTAGCACAAGGAACACCTGCTCAGGAAGGTCTTCCACTACCTGAAATTCACAGTACCCATTCACCAGCTGCTCTTTGTCACATCACTCTTTTATTTTCTTCATTGCTGTGTGCATTAATTAATTAGTTAATTTGTTCATTGTTTGTTGCTTGCTTTTTCCCATTAGATACGAGCTTGACAACAGTAACCATGCCCATCACACAGTGCATTGTAGATGTTCAGAAGATGTTTATTGTGTAAATGGACGAACATAGCTGGCTCTCTGATTGCTCATAATACACTAACTTCCTATGAATGTATTTAAAAATGAAATAAGAACATTTGCATGGGCCTTTTTTTCCCCTCTTATTGGAAAAGCTGTATTCATCATGCACAAAATCCCATTGTTGAAAGTGGGACTTGAAGATATCAATTAAGGTCTCAACAAATGGCTCATTGCACAATGTGCAAATTAGGAAGAGCATTTCATACTTTTTCTTACACATTATAAATAAATGAGTTAGGGATGGGGGATTTAGCTCAGTGGTTTTGCCGCCTGCTGCACAAGCACAAGGACCAGAGTTCAATCCCTGGTACCAAAAAAACAAAAAAAATAAATAGTTGAGTTATTTTATGGTTAATTGCAATGAATAAACTTCAGTGACTGAAGTGAACTAAAGAATTTCTCAGATATTTCATTGCTTCTTCTAGATTGTTTCCTTTTTACTTCCACTTTAAGAAAAGGTTCACTTACAGATTACTTACCAATTTTAATAGATTTAATTGTATCCATATCTAAAAGTAAAAGTGCATTCTCTCAGAGATAGTTAATTGATTTCTATTAAATGATATCGTCTTTGAAATTAGACCTTTGCAAATAGAGGATAGATTGGAGAAATAGTATAATAATTTAATTTAAGTAACATTTTTTATATTGGTATTAAAGGATAAGTGAAAATGAGAAAGCTCAAAAGGATATCAAAAAGGATAGAAAACAAGGTTTTGATTACTTCTAAACTGATTTTCAATCTTTGAGCAAAGATTTAAGCATAGAGAAGTTAAACGGCTTTTCTGAATGTATTTTATGAATCATGCAGATTCTCAAGAGTTCCTAGGAGATTCATTCGTGAAGTATGCTGGATACGAAAGACTTTTATTGAAGAATTTTGTTTGATTTCTCATTTGGCAGTTCCAAACACAGTGGAACTACACCCTCCTGACAAAAATACACAAACACCAATGCATCAAATTGAATAATATGTGTCAAATAGTTCAGGGAGTATACAGTTAAACATGCAGTTTTGCATAGGCACAAGGAATAGGTTACTGTTTTGTGTTATGTATTCAGTGGGTACTTACACAGTGCTCTGCACTTTACAGTGCACATGAAAAATGTGCTTCATGTATGTTATTTGAAGTCAGTTGAATTGTTCTGGAATAGTTTTCTCCAACTTCTAGAAATTGTGTTCACCCCTGATGTATGGTCTTTAAATATAGACATTTCAATTGATTTTACATGCTTTTTTTTATGAACACAAATGTTCATGCAAAACTAACAAATTCATGGCTTGCCGTGACTGTACTCACCATTTGTAGTTAACTATGCTTATTTTCAACCTGTAGAGATGTGGTGAATCAGAGGTCCTAGATGAAAAGGAGTCTATTTCTTCAGCCTCTCTTGCTGGATCCGGTTTGCCTATTTTCCAGAATGTTCTGCTAAGGTTTTTAGATACACAGGCTCCCTCATTGTGTAAGTAAAGAAGGATTGCTATTTCTAGATAAGGGATTGCTTTTCTTCTGTGTGTCTCTGTGTCTCTCTTTCTCTATCTCTCTGTCTCTGTCTCTGTCTCTCTCTCTACTTGAGCAGATTCTTTTTTATTTCCTTTCCATTTGCATTTTATCTAAACTTCTTGGCACTGAACATATGTTTTTCTGAGAAAAATTTAGTAGCTTTTTTTTTCAGTGCAAACTTGTAGGCAATTTAAAACTCAGTCTAGCTTCAAATGGTTTAATCTTGATTGTAATAATTTAAAAATTAAATCACCTTATTTCCTTATATATAGCATATTAGTTTCCCCTTCTGGATCTTTCTTACTGCAATAGAAAAACTAAGATCCTGTGACATTTATCTGTGTATTGTGATTAGAAATTTTCACTTTTTGAGCTATTTTCTAAATTTATGCTTTTCTTAGTTTTAAACAGCATGGGTAAATTAAACAACTGTACCTTATAAGCAGCAGTTCTAGAAATCCTCTTGTGAGTGTCTTTAGTTACATTGTTGTGGCTGCCTCAGTATCTTTTTTTTATTTATATGTGTTTGTGAAACAATGTATTGAATCAATTCAAAACATTTACCTTTCATGGCCATTTTGACTTTGGAGAAGAGGCAAAAAAAATGCCACAATGCCAGATCCAGTAAGTAAGGTGGATGAGGACACACTGTAATGTTTTTATGAGTCTACCTCTCTCTTGGATGGCACTTGGCAGTCGTGTTCACTGTATTTTTTATTGCACCTTATAAAGATGTGAAAGAAGACTCTCAGAACTGCTTTAAAAAGTGGCAAGAACAATGCAATAAGTGTGTTTGAAGTGAGGGGGAGTATTTTGAGGGGGATTAATAGCAAAATGTTTTTTATTTTAATCTTTTTTTTTTTTTTTTGCGGTACCAGGGATCAAACTCAGGACTTTGTGCTTTCGAGGCAGGCAGCAGAACCACTGAGCTAAATCCCCGGCCCACGTTAATCATTTTTAAATTTAAACATTTATGGTATATTTTGGTCACACCTTGTAAATTGCCTTGCAGCATAGAGGAGATGTACATTTACTTTTTGCTTGCCTCTTCCCATTCCCATTCCTGTTCTTTCTTTGGGAAAACTTTCTCCTTCAATCCCTTTGCTAGTTCTATATGGTGTATAGTAGAAGAACTGTTCTGTTTCCCTGTGTTGAGGCTGCTTGTCCTTGAGTGTGATAATGAGAGGAAACATGGGCTGAGCTTAATGCTCTTGGATAGATCTATTTGTCTTCTATTGGTGTTTGTAAACATGATAGTACCAGGTATAGGGTTTAACATTTTTTAGCCTTATCCCAAAGGTATTACAGTATTGAAAGTCAGACAGTCAGTTAAATAGATTGATAAGAAACTGAAAAAACAAAAAGATGACATAGCTTCATCTTTGTACCCTTTTTATTCCGATTTCCCTTTTCCAGTAGATCCCATTTACTATTCTTTTTTCAAATACCATTTGAATTGTAGTTCTGTTGTGAAGTTGTCTTTGAAACAGTGCACACATCTGCCCTTGAGATATGCAGACAAACACAAGGTATAAAAACTGATTGCAAACTGTTTTAGTAGTAAAAATACAAGGTGGTAGGCAAGCCATTTATGCTGTTATGCTATTACTTAGTTTTTCATTTGTCAGGGACCACTACCATTAAAACTGAAATTGTATATTTTACTCTTTGAATTATATTTGGATAAGCAAAACCTGCCTGCTAGCTTTGTACAAAGCACAAGTGGCTCAGTAAATCTTCCAATACACTGTTGTAAAAAAGAGGTTGATTATTAAAGATAGTGAAAATATTTTAAGAGATTTCTAATTGAATTTGCTCCCTCACAGCGGATCCAAACAGTGAGTGTGAAAAGGTGGAATTTGTGAACCTGGTGCTGCTCTTCTGTGAGTTCATCCGCCATGATGTCTTCTCTCATGATGCCTACATGTGCACACTCATATCTCGAGGAGACTTGTCAGTCACTGCCTCTACTGGGCCACGGTCACCAGCAGGGGAAAATGCAGATGAACATTATTCAAAGGATCACAATATAAAAATGGAGGTATGACCCTGGTGGTGATGCCCCCACCCTCACACTAAATTGTGCTGGGGGCCACTTTCAGATGGGTGTTGGTGATAGAAAGGTTGCTCACCTTTTAGTTGAGTTCTTTTCTATAGTGTTCCTTTATCTCCACTCTGTACTCAGAAAGGGCATTTGGACTATAATTTCTTTTATATACGGTAAGATGGTTAATGAAAATCTTTAACAGGTTGAAAATATTTAATAAGACTAACATGCTTCTAGTTTTAGATCTTTCTAGCTTCCAGTTTTCTTTCAGTGTTGTCCTCAAGACCAAACTTGTTTGAAACTAAAGACTAGCTGAGTTTTCATTCTAAGGAGCATGTATTCCCCAGTGTACCATTTGTTCTTATAGCACCCTTTTATCCATAATTGGAAATTCAGTGTTAGCCATAACATATTATACTTTCATTTTGATTTATTGAAAATTTAATCTATTTCTCAAATATTGTAGACTTTTTCTTTTCAACAAATTATTTTGTGCTCTGAATATGACTATAGTTTTCTGCTAGGTGCTGATATTTTGCACATTGTTCCACATATTTAATACAACAGTTGTGACAATTCCTTAAAATAAAGCTTCATATTGATTTTGAAAGCATTTAATCATATATGTTTATGTTTAAAACAGTGTCTGTATTTGTAAAAAAAAAAAAAAGCTCAGCACTAGAATTGCAAGCATAGATACATAATTTGTACTTGTAAGATTTGTTTTCCAAAAGGTGCATGATTTTTAAAGATTATTTTTTATTGTAGGTAGTTTTGTTTCTCAACTTTTTTCACAGAAGTTTTAAGGGTGAAAACTAAAGTTCTTTTACTGGTTTACATGTTTTCTAAGCTGCTGTTCTTTTTGTTTTCTTGGATGTCTAGGTATCTTATCTCTTAGATATAATTTTAGGTTTTTTTCGCTAAGACATATTGGTGAATTTGTGACAGCGAATAGTTCAGAGAAGGAAACTATAGCCTTTTTTTTTTAATTAGGAAGTTTGTGTATTTTTCCCTTAAAATACCATGAAAGTTAAAACATTTTTATCCTGAAGGAAAAGAATGTGACTTTTCAAAGCAATGCATGTGTTACAACTTCCTTCTGCTTTTCTGTGAAAAAAAAATGCAGGGTGGGGTAAGGATGATTAAAAATCTCACTGTTACTTTTTAGCCTCAGTTTCTTAAGCTACAGAATTTACAACGTGACTTTCTTTCTCTGGCAATTATCAGGAACAGAGTATTATGGCGCATATGGGCATTGACTCAGGAACCCCTAACATTTTTGATGAAGTAGACAAGAGTGACTTTAAAACTGACTTTGGTTCGGAGTTTCCAGTAGGTTCAACATTCGATTCTTATTGACATTTAACCCACCCACTCCCACCCCAACTTGTCCCTGTCCTTTTGTTTTTTGCCCCATGTACCAGAATGACTTGTGCACCTGTGATGTGAATGTGATTCTACCATGTCCCACCCTGAGTCACAGTGATCATGTCTTACAGTTTTATAACCTCAGTTCATCCTCAGTTTTGGTTGCATTGTCTCCTTTGTCAATTATAATGCGCCTGTCCTCCTAGCTGACTGTGACTCCTAATTCATTTTGAGATTGTTTCTCAGGAATGCATGAGTGTAGTTTCATCTTGACAGTCCATGCTGACTTGCTGTGTATGTATGTCTTGAGCTTCTGAAGAAGAGCTTTCAGCTCTCAACTTGTACTTTCATTCTTCTACTGTATCTCAGGATACTTATTATGTGTTTCTCATGATTCTTAGGGTATAACTCTTTATAAAAACATTGTTTTTCTGGGGTGCAAGTTAAAACATTGATATCTATTTCTCGTTAGTCTTATAAGTTAATTATCATTATGTTTTTGGAAGAAGTGTAGCCATACAAGGAAAACATTTACCTGTAAGTCTACTTTTATTTCTGGTCTTTGGGTGATGTAGGCACATTTTTTTTTTTTAACCTGTGTATGGATTTCATTTTCTAACATCTAAATGTGAGATAATACTGACAGATTCCTGCTGATCTGAATATGAATTTTATGGAAATAAAATTTCTACTGTTTTTTGCTTAGTGGGTAAGTAGAAAAAGATATTGTATGAACATCTTGTGTGTTTTAAATTCTAACTTGTAACACCGTGGCTTGGTTTTGTTTTCTTTCATTTACAATTTCCAACATTTGTTTTACATGACTTAGATTTTTTCTCCCATGCTTGGAGAGTCCTGTGAGAATGCCAACCCCTCTTTGGGCAGAAGAATGTCCATTAACGGTGAGAAATTGGCAAAGAGGGAAAAACCCAGAGAATTAATTTTTCCATCTAATTATGACCTCCTCCGTCACCTGCAGTATGCAACACATTTTCCTATACCTCTGGTAAGTCATTGCTTCCATTACTTTACACCCTAATTATTTTATTGGGAGGTCATTAACAATTGAGTGTCAGATGGTTCGCCTACCTATTCAGCTTACACATAAAGATAGCAGGTGAGTTTTTGTATTTTTTGTTCTATTTGTTATAATTCTGATCATACAGTTTATGAGCTGATGTAGTCCAAGTTTATGTTATGATATTAGTGGCTGGTTAGCTTCAACAGAATTTTCTGTATTAGTATTCTTCCATCAAAAGCATTTGAGTCAAGGCAAATGATGTGTAAATGTGTTTTCCTACTATAGTTTTAAAGTCATTTATTGAGTAGCTTTTATGTGTACTGTATAGTGATAGGTACTTTTTGTATTATACAGATGATTAAGATTTTAGGGACATAGAAAAAATGAATAAGACAGGAGAGAGACAAATACTTATAAAATGAGAAGCACTCATGTTAGTGTAGTAATTTAGTAAAATTACATTCCTGGGTCCCTTCTACTTTCAAAGAGTGAATATTGGCAGGAAAAAGAGCAACTAATTGAGAAAGTGGGTAAACCTTAAAAGAAATTGTAGTTGAGATGGACTTGGATTTGGACTTGAGAACTGGATAGGATATGGAGAAATTTAGTATTGGAGGCTTTTTTAAAAATAGGAACAAACTTTATTTTCCATTGGCTGCATATGTTGCAAGTCTAGTATAATGCATTTCACATATGTATTTTAATCAAGGCTATTTGGAGTCCTATATGCCTCACTTATCTGTATGTCAAGTTCTTTTCCCCTCCTTGGGAAGTTTTCTGCCATCACTTCTGTGAACAGTTTTTTGATGTCATCTGCACTCTCTCCTCTTTCTTCATTGACGCCAATCAATCTTATGTTATTCTTCTTTGCATTGTCTAGCAGCTGCTGGATTGATTTCTCGTGTTCCTTTACAATTTCAAAGCAGTTTTTCTTTTCCTGGTCACTAATTGCAATCTTTTCTTCCATATGTGAAATTCTATCCTCACATTGGTTCATTCTGCTGCGCAGACTTTCAATAGAGTTTTTAATCTCCTGGAAATCTGTTTGCATCTGTTTAATGGATTCCATTTGTTTCCTATGTTGGGATTCCATCATGTTCCTCAGATGCTCTCTAGATTTATTAATCATGTCTTGCACTATGAGCATAATCTTTGCCCTTATCTGAGTAATTATTTCTGATTTCATTTTTCCCAGATCCTCTTTTGTTGCCAGTTCAGAGTCCAGGTGGTTGAGTATCAGATTGTTCCATCTCGTTTCCCTTTGGGGTTACTGTAGGTGATCCAGAAGTCTGTTTTTGAGGCTTGTTTACGTGTCTTCTCATTTCCACGGAGGAGGAAGGGTGCTTCTGGTGCCCGCGCAGCTCACCTTCACTGCCCTAGGAGCATGGGATGGCAGCAGGGGAGCTTCCTTCCAGGTGCTGGGACCGGCTCAGCTTCTCTGCCCTAGGAGCTTGGGATGGCAGCAGGAGAGCTTCCTTCTGGGTGCTGGGACCGGCTCAGCTTCTCTGCCCTAGGAGCTTGGGATGGCGGTGGGGGAGCTTCCTTCTGGGTGCTGGGACCGGTTCAGCTTCTCTCCATATGTATTTTAAATATGTGATAGAATTAGAACATTGAAAATTTTCATGGTTGTCAAAAAATAGGATGCTTTAAAATTTTTTAAAATTAGTATATGCTTGTAGTACATAATGATTGCATTTGTTGTGGGAAGTTGGTACATGTGCATAATACGTCATAATTCTTTTTTTATTCCCTTGTGTTGGAGTTTTAACTCTGTGTGATGTGGTCATTGTAAAGGAAACTGAGATTAGTTTCTTATATTATTAATGAAAATTGGGCTAATTTCTGAAAATATTTTTAATTCTTGAAAATATTTGTTTTCTACAATTTTATGATAAAGGCAGTTTTCAATGATCCACTTTTTTCATAGGATGCTTTTCTATATCAAAATGCAATTTTGATAAATGTGTGTTACTTTCTAGTTCTCTTTTAGGAGTTTTGATTGGCATGCTATGTATGTTGTTAAAGTTACTTTTGATAGTTTTAAGCAATTTCCAAGGTGATTCAGTATCATTAAACTCTTGTTTTGTCTTATTACAATTAAAATTTTCTTTTTTTCTTATTGTTTTATATCCATGACTGTGTAAAAACTTGACAAAATTCTTTCTTGTCACTTCTCTTCGAATATATCAGTGCTTTTTAACTGTTACCTATAGATACCAGCAATTTTTTTTTTTTTTTTTTTTTTGGTACCAGGGATTAAATTCTTGGACCTTGCGCTTGCAAGGCAGGTGGAGGAACCACTGAGCTAAATCCCTGGCCCTACACAGCAATTTTTAATAGAAAAAAATAGCCTGACAGTTTATTTAGGGCAACAGAGAGGGTAACCATATATCTTAGAGATGTGTTCTGAAGAAGTCATGGATAGATTACCATTATGTCTTGGGTTTGTTTCACAATATTCAGAATAAAAATAGGGATGTTAAGTTTTGAGTTTAAAATTAATGCATGAGTAGTAACCTTAGTTTCAGTGAATGTACTGTGGTTCTGTAAGGCGTTAACATTTGGGGAAACTGAGTGGAATGCACATGGGAACTTTCTACACTATCTTTGAAACTTTTCTGTAAACCTGATGTTGCTCTAAAAACCTTGTGTATAAGAAAAAATAAAAACAAGAGGAGATTAAAAAAATATTGAAATGGTTGAGTTACCTGCTTGTGTAAGCAGAGCTTTGCAGGTCTTGCTCCATATATCAGGTGTCTAAATAGGGCACTATGCATCAATAACTTTATTCTGATGTTCCTGTGACCTTGACTACAAAATTCTTTCCAGCTTTTACCATTCTAAAGACTGTCCAGTTTCTTAGAGGAGAGATCTTGATGATTTCCAAAGATCATTTGTCATGATGAATCAAGACATAATTCAAATGTAATGTAATTGTGATAGAACTTCTAGACAAGTTTTTAAATAGCTTTCCACCATCAGTTGCTCTAAACTCTCCTTTACCTTGAGTGGTATAATTCAGAAGAAGCTATCAATAGGGGAAATAGAAGTAAATGCTAATGTAGTATTGTTAGTAAGACTGCTCTTGAGAAACCTGGCTCTCATCCTCGATAGAAAAGGGGAAATATGACTAACCTGTCATGCCTGTGAGAAGAGTATAAGAATATGGTAAAAAAAAGTTTTTAACGCTTTCTAACTCTACTGTATAGCCTTAATGAGTAAAAACTAAGAGAACTTGATCAAAGGTCCAGAAAAAAATAAATTTTATGTATGCTGTTATATGACTCATGACTTGATCTGTTCATCAGTAAGATGTGGTTTAGTCTACCAACAAGTGTAGGTTCTAGTTTATAGGCATTCTACTAGCCTGTAACTTTAGTAAGTCATCTATACTTTAGTAAGTCTATGTCAGATATGTGGTGCTGATGTCATTATACTACCTACCTAGAATTTATCAGCACTTATTTTATAAATTTTTATAGGCACTTTGTGCATTTTAAAATTTATTATTCACTTCACACTCAGAGAATACATCTGTGAAATTGTGGACAAGAATTTTAAGCTTCAGAAAATAATTCTTAGCCATTCGTGGTGGCCCACGCCTGTAATCCTACCACTTGGGATTCAGGAAGGTCACCACAAATTCCAGGCCAGCCTGGGCTACATAGTTAGCTCAAGGCCAGCCTGAGCTACATAGAAAGACCTTGTCTCAAAAAAACAAAAAAGAACAAGAAAAAAAAATTGAAACTTCAAGTGCGAAAATAAGGTTGGAATTAAACTTGTTTTCTTGGCTTGCAGGAACATTATTTCTTAATCATTGCAGCTAATACAAATGTATTACCAACTGTTTCAATAGAAGTTTTTTTTAGGAACACTAAAAACAGTCTCAGGTATGCTTAACTTTTCTAGACCTCTCCCTATTAAGTCTTTAATTTATTGTCATGTACTGAATCCTGTCTGTGTCACTGCTGGTGGGGAGAATTTGACCAGAATTGTGACCATAAGAGCTGAAATCACTCCTAAATTTCATTGGAGACCCCCTATGGGGTCAGGCTCTGCTTTCTGGAGCTTAGCAGCACCTCAGCATAGCCCATGCTCTGTTCCTTACATGGCCTTGCTTATGTTGAGTCTTGTGAGTCTATTTCAAGATCATTTGACTGGTGCTGTTTTTCCGTACCTTTTGTGTGAGTTTCTAGTTCTAAAACAGTAGTTTCAGTAGTTAGTATAATTCAACACCTCCCCTTGTAAATGTAATAGAGCCCATGGATTTCATGTTACCACAGAATAAAAACAAGAAATCACTAGATTTATCATTACCCACAGAAGGAAGCCTTTATAACATACTGGTAGAATGTAGATTATATTAAAAATTTATCTGTGTATTTTCAGTGTAAAAATTTATCTGTGTATTAATAGGAGTTTTTCGCTGTTGTTTGAAAAAAACTTTTATGCTAAAAATTGGAGGGTAGTGAACAGATAGGTTACTATTGCTTGAAGTAATGTATTTACCAGAAACTTAAAGTTTTTGTGTATGATTGAAGAGCTTAGTAGCAAATTACACTGATACTATTTTCCATATTTTCATCAAGAAGTCAATTCCAGACATTTAAAGTCTTATATCATAAACCTCTTTTTGCTTTTAAAGATATTATAGGGTTTGACTCTTCAGTTTTCTTGTACAAACATTTGGGTTAAGAAGTATCAACAATCATAAGAACATAAGATTGGTTTGCATTTAGAAACAAGGTTTCTGTGTAAAATAGCCTGCAGTTGCTGGTTCTCTGTATTTTTCATTATCAAGATTTTATTTATCTCTTTCAAAACTGTAAGAAGCTTTGTGATCCCGTAAGGCAAGAAGTGATAGCATGAACAGTCCTGTATTTTATACCTCATTTTCACATCTTGACCTTTCTTTCTGAGTCTCAGTCTCCTTAGGTGAAGCAAAAGTGTCAGTGACCTTTAAGTGGAATGCTTTTGAGAGATGATAGTACAAAATAGGATCTAAGCACAGGTTGGACACAGCCAGGAGCAGAGTGGCCTCCTTGGCTTTGAAGAGCGAAATCCTGGTCTCACAGTCAGATATGACTTCTGTCTGGCTGAGAGTGTATGGGATTCGGACAGTGTGGTAAGGAACAAAGCAAATGATGTAGCCAGTACTCACTAATAATATGTTGATGAGCACTTTTTTCACATTTGGATAGTTTTCATTATCTTTGTTTCTGTAGAGTTGTCGAATTACAAGGCAATTGGATATTAAAATGATGGTTGAGAAATTTAAAAATATTGCTATACATATGAAATTTGTCAGCAAATGCCAATTTCTTCCAAACTCCTTTTTAAATTCCATACACCCCACATTTGACTTTTCCTTGAGGTCTTTGATGGGAATCACCATGTTCGGGACTGTTAGAAGCAGGACCATAAGCCACACCACAGTTGATATCATTTTGGCAAATCCAGGCTCTTGTATCCGGTAGATTTTGCAGCTGTGTGTCAACTGAAGATAGCGGTCAAGGCTGACAAATGCTAAGAATATAATTGATAAGTACATATTGATGTAGATAAGGCATGCTGTGACTTGGCAGTGGAATATCCTCAGCTTCCATGGTGCCATACCCAAGTCAACAATAATTTTCACTGGTAATGCCAGAGTGAGCAGGAAATCTGCCATAAGAAGATTAATTAGGTATATGCTCACACACCTGTGGTTTGGAGTTTTCTGTATAAAATCCCAGGTTGCAAAACAATTTCCAATAATTCCGACAAGGAAAACTAAATAAAAAAAATATATGAATGGCTCCAGATCTCTGTAAACTGGACAGAAAAATGAACTGTTTGTCATCTTGAGGGACAGGAAGGATGACTTCAATTAAAAAAAATCCAGAGAATCTGTTTTGGTTTTTTAAAAAAAGAAGAGATTAGTACTTTAATTTAGAGACTCTTTTAAAAACATTTGCACTAACAATACTATGGTCTTTCTAGTTTTTTAGGTAGAATTTTATTGAGCTTACTAGACGTGTGGACTGTTGGGAACACCCTAGATTTTTTTTTGGGGGGGAACACCCTAGATTTTGAGGAATCCTTGATTTTCTCTTGTTTGATTTTGACTTTCAGAAAGTCATGTGTAGCTTGCTTTTGGAAGGGATATTTGTTTTACGTTCTGATAGCTCTTCATTAAGCAGTTGGGTGGGGGAGTAGTTTGCAGAAGAGGTAAGTGAGGGTAGATTCTGAGAAGTAGGGACAGGAAACTAGTGTTGTGGTTGTGGCTGACTACCTCTGGTTTCTTTTTAAAGAGTCATACAGGTCCTCATCCTGGAAGAGGCTAATGGGAGAGTAAGGGATGACAACAGATTGTATTAAGATTAAGTGTGATTTAAAAAGTAGATCATTGTGAGACCTATTAGATCACTTTTCAGAGACAAAATTTTACTTCTTTTTTCTCTTTAGCAGAAATAGTTGAAGGATTAGAATATGGCTTGAGTTGGTCTTATTACCGCCCTTTTCATTACTCCAATTTCATAATGGTATAGACCTGCAGTGTCCAATACTTTAGCCTCTAGCCACGTGCAGCTATTAAATGCTTTAAGCAGTCCAAGTAGATGTGTCCCATAAATGCAAAATGTACACTGGATTTTGAAGGTCTAGTACAAAATGTAGAATCTTGCAGGAAGTACAAATTATACTATTTTATGTAAATCATATAAAATTAGTAAACTAATATCTTACTGATATTTTTATGTTAAACATATTGAAATTATTTTTGGTATGTTAAGGTCAGTATTTTAAGGAAATTGCATTTTCTTGTTTCTTTTTACTTTTTAAAATGCAGCTGTCAGGGGCCGGGGATTTAGCTCAGTGGTTTCGCCGCTTGCTGTGCAAGCAAGCGCAAGGACCCAAGTTCGATCCCTGGTACCAAAAAAAATAAATAAATAAAAATAAAAAAAAATAAATGCAGCTGTCAGAGAAATGTCAGTTGTTTTTGTGGCTTGATTGTATTGGTTATTGGTCAGTAATAGAATAGATGTTTTCATGGCAGTGTTTTTGAATAGTTTTGTGAAAAGTAAACTTCAAAAGTTTCTGGGACATGGTTGGATGTAGATTCATTGGTTATGAACTCAGAAACTCAGTTGTATTAGTATCAAAACATCTAACTTTCATGGGCTTTTTTTTTCTTTCATTGTGAGTTTTGGGACAGTTAAAAGAAATATTAGACATTCTCTTAGACAACAGTAATGGACATTGATAATGACAGTAAAATCTCATCCTCTTCTTCCAAATTGGGAAAACTAGATAGATTTATAAACTCAAGTTAAACTGATCAGGCTCCCTTGGATATGTTCCAGTCAAACTCATATGCCTAGGGCCACTGGTGTTATCAATCTTCTGGGGTTTGTCTTGCTGTAGGTTCTCCTTTTACATATCAAACACTTTTTTTTAGTGACGGACATAGAAGACTACATCAACCATTAAATCTCTGGGCTGGGGATTTAGCTCGCTGGCACCGTGCCAGCAAAAGGTCCTGAGCTCAATCCCAGGTACAAAAAACAAAAAAAACCCAATCATTAAGTCTTTTAAAAACAAACACCTACAAAAGCTTTCTAAATCTTTTAATTCTTCCAATTGTTTGATCTTGGAATGAAATAATGTATGTAAGCCGATTACTAAGGCATATGAACATAAAACTTTCTAAATTAAATTATCATTTAAAGGGCACATATCTTTTCCTTAACCCAATTTAGGGCTTTTGGATCCATATATAGTATAATTCTATAACAAACACAGTAAAAACTAGTTAAGCACTTTGTGTCTGGTGACTACTTTACATGTGTTTGTTTAACCTTTTATCATTCCTTTGAGATATTTATTATCATTTGTCTTTTGCCAATGAGAAAACTAAGGTGTAACAAGGTTAAATACCCAGGGTTGTATAGCTGGTAAGTTATAGAATCAGGATTTCAACACAGGTTGATCTTTGAACCGATATTCAAAATCACTCCAAAACAATCTCAACAACAATAGTAAAGGCAATGATGACTCTAATGATAATGATAATGACGATAATATAGCAACCAGTCTTTACCTCAGGGCTTACTCTGTCATAGGAATTATGTTCTAAGCAAATATTTGCTAAGCTTGCTAAATTTAGATCATATTCTATAAATTTAGACCTTAATTTCAGAATTCCGATAACTTAGTTCCTCCCTATTATTCTTTCTCCCTTTTGGTTGCTGGGGATTGAACCCAGGGTCTTTACACATACTAAGCATGTGATCTACAACCTAGCTACCATCCTCTTGCCTTTAATGCCACTTCTCTGCTTTAGATTGGTGGGATGTCCACTGTCAGTGAGCAATTACTTCTTGACTTTGTGTTTTTATATGTGATAAAATTTTGGGTTCTTAAACTTCAATAATGGATGGAGACTTTGGTGATAGCATCTATCCCATACTCCAGTAAGTTGAGGAAACTAAAGTCTTGCAGTTGTGTATGGTTTAAGATTTTGCAGTTTGTTCTTACAGGACTAGGACTTGTCCCTTGTAGACCCCCTAAAGGAAGGCCTTTTATGTCTGCATTGCTCTAGGTTTCACTGACTTCTGTATGACCCTTATTTTTGATAGTTATGTTTATTTGTGTTCTGGAATGCTGAGCATGCTTTTCTTCGTGTCAAAAATGTGTCACTGTACAGTGATCTTGTCTCTCACCTTTACTTATTGTTCTTTAATAGGATTTTGACTTAAGCTCATTTATTTCAGATTTACAGAATGATAGTAATTTTATAATGTATTTAAGTTCCCCACTACTTGCACAATTATGTGGTAAAGTCTCACTTCTTAAAGTCCATTTTATAATAAGATTTACATGGTAAGAGAAGAATTAGAATGTTTGTTTTGGTTAATATTCTGTATAAATTAGAACTGATGATATATCTATAGGTGAGTAACTTATTTAACATAATTATAATGTAGCCGTTCATTTGATAATGCTTATCATGGGTGTCTCACATTTGCTTTTGTGAAATTCTTTTGAGATTGCAATGAAAAGTAATTTGTTTAAATTAACTTGGTGATGGTAATGTCATTTAGAGGTTAAATTATACTGTAACAGCCCATGTTTTAAATCACAAATTTGAGAATTAAGTGCTTGACATTTGCCAACAATTATGAGCCAATGGAAATTTAATGTATTCAGAGGTACTCCAGGAAAATCAAGAAAAGATGTTAAGTGTGTTTTTACTTCCTATAGTGTGTCCATTGCTTAGAAAAAGTTCATCGTATTTTCTATAAGAGGCACAGTACAAATTTTTAAAATTAACCTGTTGCGGTATTTGTGGGGGAATGTAATTTTAAGACCTGTTGTGAAGACCTACAACATTGGCTTTTATCTATCCAGTTATAAAACTGAGTTATTGAACAGTTACACTCACCTAGACATTTAATCTGGTTTGAATTAAGCTATTTCTTTGAGACCGATGGGGTCATCAGAGAATATTATAGAGCAGTTCACATCTAGGACCTATTTAATAATTGGTGCCTAGTTACCCAGCACCTTTGTTACATGTTGGGCTCTTCCTCTTAAACATTGAAAAGTTATGAATTTGCCATGTGTGAAAAAGCATTTGAGATAGATTAAGTATTTAAAATTACATACCTGGGGTATCTCCTGTAGCTTGCAAGGTCTTGCCTTACTTCCTCAAACAAGCATGAGCTGTTGGGTTAGTGGCTGCATAGAGTTGCTGGCTCTACTAAAAATTTCCTTTTCTTTTGTGTGGTTTTAAAATGTTGCAGGTTGACGCAGATGAAACTGTGGTTTGTGACTGGTTTAACTGTATGAAAGTCTCCTAATGAAACTTTTAGAATAAATTTTTTGTTGTAATTTCTTAGGCAGTCCAAATTTGTCAGTAATTTTTGAAGAAAAGATTTTCATTTGTCAATTGTCTTACCTTTTCTTTCTTGAGGCACCCAAGATATATTCTTTTTCATAATAGTTTCAAAGAATATCAGTGTTTATGCTTTGAAAGGGATTGAGTTAGATATAAGGTGTTTTAAAAAAAAGTCTTTAGTATGCATAGTGTTACTCACCAGAATTTCAAAGTTATAATTAATGAAAAGATATGTTTGCAGTTTCTATCCCTTAGAGACATCTATTAATGAAACAAAAAAGGATTATTTAACAGAATCTGGTAAAGTACATTTTTAAGATCTTTATTCTTTTTGTTCACCATAGAAAAATCTTGAAATAGAAATAAAAGAAGAGCATCATCATGCAGAGATAATTACTGTTAACATTTATGATTTATGGATTTAAAATTTTTCCTATGCTTATCTATACCCACTTAAAATATTATATTTATGATTTTATAGTTTTTATTCAAGACTATATTGTATCTGTTCCTCCCAAGTTATAAGACTAGATCAGCAGTATTTGTCAATTTGACCCACACAGTTTAACCAGTTAACATTTCACCCAAGTGTCACTTGGGCATGTCGTTTTTTTCCCATTAAGTTTATTGGTACATTTTAGGTATACAGTACAGTTACATTCATCATTGGGATCTTGTATCTTTACATGATGTATCTGGGTTCTTATTTTTTCCCCCATTCCCCTGCCCTCCCTTCACCCCCTCCACCCTTTCCTATTTACAAAGACTTTGTTTCCATTTTTTTCTTTTCTCATATTTTTTCTTTTCCCTTCTTTCCTTTCCCCTACCCCTCCCACTTCCCCTACTCCTTTAGACCTTTTCTTCCTATTTCACAATATCAATTATACATTTTGATCCTTATTTACACTTTTAGTTTTTCACACCAGAGAGGTCTATTCAGTATTTACACGTGTGTCCTATTTATTTCACTTAAGAGTATGGCCTCAATGTGCATCCACTTAGCTACAAATGTCTCTAGTTTCTCA